TTGGCTATTTGCTTTATAACAAACAAACTGGCTTTAAACAAAAATATCTAGCCATTTGAAATTAGAGGCAACCACTGCATTTTAATCATGATCTGCACGGGCAGTTGTTTTTGATTTGATTTAGATTAATTTCAGGATTTAAAACAAAAACAGAATGGTCTGACTTTAGGTGTTATTTATTTATTTGCTACATAAAACATCTGCACGAAACAAAAACAGCAGGTCTGAATGAGACGCACTCTCTGACAGCAGGTGGCGCCTATGAACAGGGTTGCCAGGTTTTCGCAATAAAACTAGTCCAATCGCTTTTCGAGGAGGGTTCCCCTGTAAAAATCGCATTCGGGGGTAAAATACACGTTTTTCGGCGAGGATCTTCCAGTAAAATTCACATTCCAGGGACTAAATATCTCGTTATTGGGGTCGCTTCAACCCGCGGGTTGACAGTGTTGAACCACAACCCGCGGCAACAGTGTTAAAGTAGCCCAATTCCGCGGGAAAACCGCGGACTTGGCAACACTGCTTATGAACCGACCGCAATATAGCGTTTCCTTGTTTACCGCTGTAAACAAAGCAGAGCTGCGCTTTATACTACGGAGAAGAAAATGCCATTGCCATCGAAACTTTTCTCAAGACAGTTCCCTTCAGTGATACATTAACCCATAAATGTAATGCATTTTTGTACTTATTTTACTTTTTTTTTCGGGATCTACTGGGACAGTGATAAAGATCGCGATCGACGGGTTGGCGACCACTGATTTAATGCATCCTTGCTGAATAAAAATATAAATTTTGATACTTTTAATACTTCATACCACAAATATTTAAATGGTAGTGTATCAACATCTGTTAATATAAGTCAACCAACGACTTCTTTGTTTGAAGTTTGTCTTACCGTTTTGGCAATATTTTGGGCTGCTCTGATACGTCTGAGTTTTAGGTAACCAGGGTTCTTCATAACAGCTTGACCCAACTGGAGTGCACAAACACACAAAAACAAAAGCAAATTACTCTGTACCCTTGGTTGAGCCTTTGTTTACCGTCAGCAGACAGCCATTGACCTGCGGCCCATTTTAGAAACAGAATTGCATCATATCAGCAGGAAAGTATCCAACTGCAAAATAATTTCTGAAGACACCCAAAGTTTAAATGCTGAACATGACAAATCGAATCGAAAGAACAACTGATAAATGTCCATAATGCACAAACAAAAAAAGAGAGAGAACAAATGCTTTCAAATATGTTTTGGTTGCCGATAGCTTGTTGAGAATGAGGGGGCAACAGATCAAAATAGCCTAGATGTATGACTGCAACAACTGACTGTGGCTTAATTAGCACAGAAGCAGTATTCATTAATTATATGTGATAATTACAGTCATTTACCACTCACAGATTTAGAACATAACAGGGAATAATAATTATATGAAATGTGGTGCTTGTAGATGAAAATAGTGCATTTGGGACATTTTAGAGTAACGACGGAAACCCCTTATAGCTTGAATAAAACAGAGACATTGTTATAATAATCGGCAATATGTGTGCTGAAGTGGAGTGTGTTGAAGTGCAGCAACAGCATACCATTTTAGCAGCCTCAGCTTCACCCTCAGCCTGTATAATCTTCTGTCTCTGGTCCTGTTTGGCCTTCTCTACATAAAACTGAGCCCTTTGGGCCTCCTGCTGGGCTACATGTCAACAAGAGAGACAGGCTATTTAAAATAAAAAGGTCTCACACACACACACACACAGATATTTTCCTTTTTCAACATGACATTTCATACAAACAGTTTTGTGCAAGTTGAATACTGTTATTTGGTCAAAAGGGAATACTGTCACAGAATGACCAGAGTGCCCTCAAGTGGAGAGCATTAGGATAAGCAAATATTATTCTAAAAAATACTCTTAATGCTTTCAAGGATGCTTCTAAGACACTTCAGTCCATACAATAAGCTGATAATTCTTTTTATTTTTTAATGGATTATAATCAGTGTCAAAATAATACATTTTGCTGTTTTTTCTACAGCTGCAACTCTCACAAAGTGAAATAAAAAGAAAAGAAATTAAAAAAAAAGTATATTGCTTAAAATTGAAAAGCAGACCTTGATACTATTTACAAAATGTAATATTTACAACGTTGTCAGCAATATACACTACTATTCAAAACTTTGGGATCCGTTTTTTTTCTTAAATACGCATTTAAAACTGATCAAAAGTGACAGTAAGCTTTTACACTGTTACAAAAGGTTTAGATTTTCAAATAAATGCTGTTCTCTGTCACTGTTGTGTTTATGTAGACAAGAAACACACTTGAATAAACATATCTGAGAATCACCATTTCAAGTTGTCCACAATCTAGTCAACAATATTTTGAATAATAAGAAAATACAAAGAAAAGAATGACACTCATACAGTGTGAACTAGTGTGAAGCGACAAGCTTGATCATCGCCATGGAAATAGGAAAGTGATATCTAGAATGCTGCTTTTAGAGCAGTTATTAAAACAAAAACAATAATAGTTTGTTTAAAAACTACCATGGATAAAGCAATAAAACAAGAGTTTTAAGGTAATATAGTATATGGAGTTTGTTATTGTCATCAACCAAACCGTGACCAGTTTTTATACCTAAAAAAAATTTAGGCCTCTAATAGGCAATTTTAGCTGGGCCCTACACAGGAAAGTAAACAGTAAAGTAATCTGCAGCACATACTTGCGTTAATGTTTGGTACATCATATGATTAGTGAAAATACAAACCCTGGATTATAGTGTAGGACGTTTGCTGTTAAAATGTTAAATGATGCACCTGTTTTGGTGCAACATTCACATTTTATATGTTATATCTAAAATTTTCTTAATAGCAGAGACCAGGGGGGTATTCCAGAAAGCAGGTTATGTGACATACCTGGGTATGTTTAAGGGTAAGTAGATAAACTCAGCATGTTGCCCTTGGGAGATATCATCAAGAAACATGGTGCTAGCTTTCACTGTTATGCTGATGGTACGCAGCTCTATATTTCTTTGTGGCCCGATGAAACCTACAAATTTGCAAAACTAACGGAATGCATAGTTGATATAAAAAAAATGGATGACTAGTAATTTCCTAATGCTAAATTCTGAAAAAACAGAGGTTTTAATTACAAAAACATCTGCATGTAATAACCTAAAACACTGTCTAACACTTGATGGCTGCAATGCAGCAGCTAGAGTCCTTACTAGAACCAGGAAGTACGACCATATTAGCCCGGTTCTGTCAACTCTGCACTGGCTCCCTATTGAACAACGAATACATTTTAAAATCTTTCTAATTATTTCCAACCGGCCAATTCCAATCCCGGTTTTCACTGTACAGGGCAGATGGCAGACAGCGTGTATGGCATCGTGTGGGTGAGCGTTTTGC